AGGAATCTTGCTGCCGGACTGCTGCTCATTCGCCATCACGATTTGGAGATCGACCTCGAAGTGGGCTGCCACTTCGTCGCGCTACCAATGTCAGTGGAGCGTGCTTTCCACGGATCTTCAGCCTTTCACCTCGAGAAATCCTCACAGCCTCTGGGAGCTGGTCCTCTCCACCTCTAGGAGCTGGTCCTCAGGGCTGTTCCAGTAGGCGGAGATGTCGAGCTCGAAGAGCTTGATATGCAGCAGATACGATGAGAGAAACTCGCTTTCTATCTCGAGCGGTCCCCCTGAGCTTCGGACCGATGAATCAAAATCACCAAAAAGGGCCTCTTGGCCCGGCTATAAGCCGGACGGCTACGGACAGTAAACAGAGCACGTGCGGGTGGTTGCACATGGGTTCGAGAGCTCCGTGACCCGAACAGGACGGAAACGGGGTCTGGAGCTCTGGTCACAAAGAACCCTAGAAATCTATCTGAGATTCACACCCCCCCCCCCCCTCCCTCTCCTCAGCAGCCCAGCGCGCTGCCCCCTCCGCCCCGACCACTTTATTTCGGCGTCGTGTCGACATGTGTCGCTATATGTGTCGCTCCCCAGCACCCCAGCGCACCGCCCCCTCCGCCCCGACGACTTTATTTCGGCGTCGTCGTCGCCCCCCCCCCCCCTCTCCCTCTCCTCAGCAGCCCAGCGCGCTGCCCCCTCCGCCCCGACCACTTTATTTCGGCGTCGTCGTCGCCCCCCCCGGTCCTTTTCCCCAGCACCCCAGCGCACCGCCCCCTCCGCCCCGACCACTTTATTTCGGCGTCGTCGTCGCCCTATTTCGGCGTTGTGTCGACATGCCGCTATGTGTCGCTCCCCGCACCGGCGCACCGCCCCCTTCGCCCCGACGACTTTATTTCGGCGTCGTCGTCGCCCCCCCTCTCCCTCTCCTCAGCAGCCCAGCGCGCTGCCCCCTCCGCCCCGACCACTTTATTTCGGCGTACGTCCGTCTGCCCCACCCCCTGTCTTTTCCCCACACCGCTCGCGCCCTCTCCGCCCCGACCAGTTTCTTTTCGGACGTCCGTCAGGGGGGGGTCAGGGGCCACCCCCCTCCCGCATGCCCCAACTCCCGAGCAGCCCAGCGCGCCGCCCCCTTCCCGCCCCCGACACCTTTAAATTCTGGCGTCGTCGTCCGCCCCCCCCCCTCCCCCCCCTCCGTCTCTCCCCAGCAGCCCAGCCCAGCGCGCCGCCCCCTCCGCCCCCACCATTTTATTCTCTTGCACAGGGTGTCTAGAGCTCCGACCATTTTATTTCGCGTCGCTCCCCCCCCCCCGCGCCCTCAGCGCCAGAGCGGGGCCCCCGCGCCGCGGCTCTCTGCCCCAAGCCCCCCCGTGCCCCCAAGCGCCCCAGCGGGGGCCCCGCCCACTGCCCCCTCCGCCACGAACGCTTTATCCCGCGTCGCCCCCCCCGCCCCCCCGCGTCCCCAGCGCCAGTGTGAGGCCCACGCGCCGTGGCTTTCTGCCCCGAGCCCACCGCGTCCCCAGCGCCCCAGCGGGGGCCCCGCCCACTGCCCCCTCCGCCACGAACGGTTTCTCCCGCGTCGCAGCTCCCCCCCCTCCCCCGCGTCTCCAGCGCCAGTGTGGGACCCCTGCGCCGTGGCTCTCTGCCCCAAGCCCCACTGCGTCCCCAGCGCCCCAGCGGGGCCCCCGCCCACTGCCCCCTCCGACACGAACGCTGTATTACACGTCGCACCCCCCCCCTCCGCGTCCCCAGCGCCAGAGTGGGACCCCCGCGCCGTGGTTCTCTGCCCCGAGCCCCCCCGCGTCCCCAGCGCCCCAGCGGGGGCCCCGCCCACTGCCCCTTCCGCCACTAACGCTTCATCCCGCGTCGCGCCGCACACCACCTCACCCACCTCCCTCCCCGCGCCCCCAGCGCCCCAGTGGGGACTCCGCCCCGTGCCCCCTCCGCCCCGACAATTTTATTCCGCGTCGCGACGCACGCCACCTCCCCCCCTTCCCCCCCTTTCCCCAGCGCCCCAGTTGGACCCCCGCCCCGTGGCCCTCTGCCCCAAGCCCCGCCCAGTGCCCCCTCCGCCCCGACAGTTTATTCCGCGTCGCGGCACACACCACCACCCCTCCTCTCCGCGCCCCCAGCGCCCCAGTGGGACCTCCGCCCCGTGCTCCCTCCGCTCCGAGCACTTTATTCCGCGTCGCGACGCACGCCGCCTCCCCCACCCTCCCCACCTGGGACTTGGGCCTCGTTGCTGGGCCCAAAGGGCGATGCCTTGCCCCCTGTTCCCCCCTCCTCCTCCACCTCCTCCTCCTCCTCCCCCTCCTCCTCCTCCTCCTCCTCCTCCTCCT